CGGCATTTATATTCAATATCATACTGATGGGAACCTATTCAATCTGAGGCAACTGAAGGCCCACACTAAGACCTTAAATCATCTTGTCCGTGAACTGCTTTTTGCTGACCATGCCGCCCTTGTTGCCCACACAGAAGCAGCTCTGCAGTGTTTAACATCTTTGCAGAGGCAGATGAGCTTTTTGGGCAGGAAGTCAGCTTGAAGAAGATAGTATTGCTCTAACAAGCTGCACCACAAGATTATCACCATCCCCACATTACCATTGGTGAGTCAGAGCTTAAGTCTGTTCAGCAGTTCAGCTATTTGGGAAGCATTATTTCCTCAGATGTCACGATCTACAAAGAGATAACAGAATAGCAAAGGCATGTAGAGCCTTCAGAAAACTCCGTAAAAGAGTCTGGTGCAACAAACACCTGAAGAGAAGTACAAAAATTAATGTTTATAGAGCCATTGTGCTGTCTACTCTTTTATATGGGTCTGAATCATGGGTTATCTACCGCCATCACCTGCGACTCCTCGAATGCTTTCATTAGCGCTGCCTCCGTTCAATTCTAAACATTCATTGGACTGACTGTGTCAAATGTCACTGTCCTTGAGCAGGCAGGGGTCACCAGTATTGAGGCCATATTGCTAAAATTGCAGCTGTGCTGGACAGGGCACATCTCTAGGATGAAGGATCATCACCTCCCCAAGATTGTGTTTTACGGTGAACTTGCCACTGGTTGCCACAAGAGAAGTGCCCCAAAGAAGAGATATAAGGATTCCCTGAAACAATACCTTAGCCTTGGCCATATTGACTACCATCAGTGGTCCACCTTGGCCTCCAGCCAGGAGACTTGGAGACACACCATACATAATTCCGTTGTCTCCTTTGAGAACACATGCAGACCTAGTCTCAAGGAGAAAAGACAATGTAGAAAGAATCGCACCCTGCCTATACCACCCAAGGAGACTTTTTGTTGTGCTTATTGCAACCAGATTTGCCTATCCCACACTGGCCTTTTTAGTCATCAGCACACTTGTAGTAAGTGTGGGTAAAGCCCTTCCCAAATCTTCATTCATGAAGTCAAGCCATGATGATGGTGATTGTACCTGTCTACTCCGGCTCCACTTCATCAGTGTCTGACAGAAGCCTGTGGGATAAAGACAGCCTAAAACCATAAACCATTGGTAAGAATAACAGTGAGTCTGTTAATAATTTATTCCCTCCACACTCATTTAAAAAATCTATATATCACAGACTGCACCATTCAATACAATATATATCCTTCCTTTAAGCTCCTTATGTTGAAAGGAAAACATCCACCCAAGTAAAAAGATCGCAGGAGTATGTGTTTCTTCTAACAGCTTTCTTCCAGACTAATCGGAATCTATTGTGGTCTGTTCCTGGCATCTTTGTTATGCAAATCTTTTACTGCAGAAAAAAACCGTGGATTTAGTGCTGACCTTCGCTTTGGCTGGGGTAGCAGTGACATCCAGTGGTTCAAGGAGAAAAAGAAATTTGCTCTTTTCCTTCCTACCACAGTGCATTACAGGAAAGGCATCAGAAAATGGCAGGGATGCCTTGGCACTTCCTTCTCCTTGTGGATATTAGCACCAGCTGCAGGCAGTCTGACAGCTGTGAAAATGGGTAACCCACACGGGGAAACAAAAACCAGAAAACACCCTTTAAGACAGACCATTTTTCTAATGGCAAATAAGGACATCACTGCTAGGAAATGTAATCGCTATTTTTAAAAGTTCAAGTAAAAAGCACCTTCCTGTATTACATCTACACCATTGACTTCACAGCTTTTTTTTTTTCTTTTCTTCTTTTTTTTTTTTTTTTTCCCCAAGCCTGTTTCTGCACTGAAAAAAAGAGGACGGACAGGCATACAAACAAGGGAAAGTCAACTGAAGAGAAATTACTACCAGGGAGTTTTCCTTCTCAAGTCACAATAAGCAAACTTTAAGTTATTAAAGAGTTTCCAGTAACCAGCTGAATGTTGAACTGTGATGTGATATTTGATGAACTGAGAAATGATTTAGATTTCGTGTACATATTGTGTTAAAGGGGAAAAAGAAAAAAGCCAAAACATTTAGATGCACACAAGGAACTGAGCCAGCAGAGGTAGCTGTTGGTACAACAAAATCAGCAATTAAATAAATCGGTTTTTAATAACATTCTAAAGAAAACATTTTTTAAACCCTCACAGTCTCCAACATCAGAAATTCACTTAGAATTCATTTGTTCCTCACTTACTATTTTGCTGTCATTTTTATTTCTTTGAGACCACCTATTTCCAATTCCTATTAACTGCTCCTAAGCATTATGTATTTTCTATCCTCTCCATTGGTATTTTGTCAAGAGGGAGTTCAGAAAGCATGAGTCAACTCCAAAAAATCCCAAGGTTGGCTTAAAAAAACCCAAACCCAAACATTTATTAGTAATTCTTCAGAACGTTTTCAAATACCATTTGGAACTTTTGTGACTCCAAATTTTGACTTGATCTCTGACTGACCAAAAGACAGGGTTAGAAAACTTCAAAATGTGGGTAAGCTTATGTAACTTTCCAATCAAGAAGTACACTGTCCCACTACCTGTTATGGGGAACTATTGCTATTAGCAGTAAGAAAACACACTCCCGAATCTGTCTAATGTGGTTACAGTATATGTGCTTTTGCTGAAACTGACAGAGCAGAGAACTTTTAGTCTCCATGAGTATTTTAATAAATATGCTCAAAAGGACTTCACAGTTCTATCTAAAAATGTTTCTACACTAGAAGAACATTTCATCTTCTTGTAGCATTAGTATGTTTAACAGCCATTATACCTCAGCTAAACATTCTAAATGCTGGATATGATGGCTTCCAAGATCGTAAAACACAGTTCCCTTTGGGTCAGCTAACAGCAACACTGCAACCCTGTGTAGCATCCTTGTCATTGTCTAGGACTTTCTGCAGCCTCAGTGACAGAACTGGTGGCCAGTTCTGTTAAAGTGGTTGGAATACAATTACATATACGCAAGATTGTAAACAGATGCTCTCCAGATTTAGCAGGTTCTAAAGGCACTTCAGTTTATCTTAAATTTCTTGGAATTTGTCTGGCTTTGATTCTGTTCTCCAAGGACTGTTTATGTTTTTCACATTTCATGTTTATGTGAAAGGCATACACAGCCCTTGGAACAAGGCCTGAAATCCAGGTCTAAGATCAGTAACTTCTTTGCCTGTCTCTGTGTAAGACCTGTTCTCTGTAAATGGCAAAGCTTTCCAGTTCCCGCTGAAAAGAAAACTCAAAACTCTACAGGAGCCACGATCCAGAAATCTCCTATTGTAAGCAAGATTTCTGTAATTAATTGCATCTTGCAACTAAGAAACAGTAGCTCACATCCATTTCTTTCAGCATGTTTCCTACTGCACTCCACAGTAACAATACGCCTACCGCACACAAGTGGACACTTACACAATGCTTTGAACTTTGCAGGTTTGTAGAGTTTTAGGTGCCTTGTGTCAGGAAAGCACTCATGATATGGATACTTCCTTTCAGTGCTAAAATCCAGGACAAAAAAAGCCCTCAAGCACAACTTTTGGCAGCTGCCTGGCTGCTCTGGATGCCATTCAGAGGAGCCCACCTCCAGTCAGCCTTTTTATGTCTTCAAGCACCCAACAGCTTCCTGACACCATTTTATGGGCATACTTACAAAAGCAGCTCAGAACATGGGACAGACACAATACATGGTTCTCTGCACCTGTCCATGACTCCTAGGAGAGCCTTTATAGAGAAAGTCTGAATCATGTAGTCAATTTGTTGTAGACTCTGCTGCTCTACTCTCCAAACTCTTGATCCTTCATCCATCCCCCAGGACAGTTAAACACAAATTTCACCTGATAGCACATGAGTCCAATTTCCATTCAGTTTTCAAATGAAATATCTTGATGCATGTAAGTCACTCAAAATTCGTACTGCTAGTGTTGTTTTAGGCAACTGTGAAGAACAGACTTTGAAGGGCACATCAGTATTTTCAGTTAAAATTAGTTCTGCCTGGACATAAATAATAATGATGATAATAATAATAATAGTCAGGATTTCATCTGTAATGATGCAATTTTAAACCCTCCATAACTGATTACTCCATAATACAAACCAAGGCCAGGCCTTGCTGCTTGTGAAGTTCTAGAGTTTCTAGCATTTAGGTTTCGTACAGTCAGGCTCATGTATGACCATTTTTTTCCACACAGCTCAACAATACAGACATACAGGCACACAGAGCAGAAATAGGCATATTACCAAAGTTTCAGAGGTGCAAAGTGTCCCTGCCCTCAGCACAAATGATACACAAAGGTTTCATTAAGGCTAGAAGAAAGCAGAATGACAGTTCAGACTCACCTGCTGCCAGGACAAAAGAATACTTCTGCTAGCTTAGTATGTCCCAGCCCATATATTTTCATAAGTTACCTAGCCTCTTACATACACCAGCTAATGAAGGATACTCAACACTTGATAATTCTCTAAGTGAAATGTTAAAATTTTGTTTAGACTTTGAAACATTAGCACATTTGGAAAATTCATGCTGTTGTGTTCACACTTCAGCCTAGGTGTATATATTTGGCTATGCATGGTGCTGGCTGTCATGAATGTAGTGCAACACTACATCTATTTTTAGAAGTAACAGCCCAGTCATTCTACTACAGAATTCAAGACTGGATCTACCTAATCTGCTCTCTGCTACTATTCCCTATATTTTTAATTTTTTTTTTTTAGAATCTTAAACCACAAGAAGGAACTTGCACTCATGCCACAGTTATCTTCTGAAGTGAACACCAGATGTCTTCAATCTTCTTTGCAGGGAATAACATAAAGCTGGAAGATCTAGAGCCAGCAGTTAACAAGAAACCTAATCGGTAGACATAGCTGTATTTCTTGAATGCAGAATCTTAGAATAATCTAGTCTGACATGATTTAGTCTTCTACAAACACCAGTGTGTTTACAAGTTAATGAAAAAAGCAAAAAGCAAAGGCATTTCATTTATATAAAGTTTTATTATCCTTCAACCCCATTACTTCAGCCTTAGCAAAGATGTGCTCCCCTAGGTAGGAAGGTTTTCAACTGACTGACTGGAAACATCTACACTAGGACGGATTTTAGAACCAGCCTTTCATTAATACAGCCAGGCACAAAAAAGCAGTTGAAATCCTGACCACCTGAAAGGCTGCAAAGCAACAAAAGAAGATCCAGGAGGACTTTCATGATTTTCTGTATTTGAATAGAGAATCTGTCCTCTGCACTGATCACTGAATAGTTAAAAAGCAATTAACTGCAACATTCAAGAAATAGATGCATTCAACATTTCGAGCTGTGGTCAGAAACACGTGCAGCCATTTTTCCACTTATGAACCTTGGGGTTTTATCTTCTCAGCAGCTTCAAGGACAGATGTAAGGTTGACTTTGTCTCCAAATTCTTTTTCACGATGCTCCAGTAAAACACCCTAGTCAAAGACACAAGAGAGAAATTCTTACACTAGTATCCCTACAGCAGATCAACTGGCCAGCAACTGAACAATTACGCAGAAGAAACTTTTAGTCTCACAGAAGACATAAAAGCCCAGGGAGATGGTCTGCAGTACCTGTCTTCCAGCACCGATCACATATACTCCTCCCAGGGTGAATCCTTCTCCTTCCAGGTTACCACTATACCCGCTTTTCCAAGCACGGAAGAAATTTTGCCAGACTCCATAGCGGAAGAAACCCGATATCATCATTTTTCGTCTGCGTGGTCCATAGAAGCCTTTCTGCAGGGAAACAGAACATATCTCAGCAAAGCGAAAAGAACTTTTCCTCTCAAATGAAATTCAGGAAACCAGGCAGCCCTGTATCCAAGAAAGGTCACACCACACAACAGCTAACCAGGCATAGCTAAAAAGAAACTGCATCTGAACTAACCTCCTTAACACACTACCTCACCACTTGACTCCACAGTCAACTAGTGGCACTGCCACTATTCATGTGGATTTTAAGCTGATCCACAGGTATTTCAGCCCTGTGTATATCTACATCCCTGTTGCTGACAAAAAGGGTGCTTTGTGATAAACATCTTTTTTATTTTTGAAGTATGACAATAAAAATCCTAGTAGGGGTACAAGTCCTGAAACTTTTATCACCACCTGTTTTGTCTGGGGTTTCCGTTTTGTGAATCTGGTTGATTATTTTTTTTAAATCAGCCTGATTTTTCACACAGGCAGAATGTGGAGGGACGATTAACATATCTGCTATTGATTTGAGTATTACATATTCTTTTTCCTTCAGAAGCCAAATGATTTCTGAATGCATCTTCTCGGTTAAGGAATAAGCAGGGCCGTAGTTTTGAAGGATATGAAATTAGGAATAAAGCATGTGCTGCTGTACTGGGACAAGCCATATCACTGCAATTTGGCCTGTATATCAGGAATTAATTATGTTTATTATGTTCAGACCTTGATTCATACACCACAAATGTCACACTGCCAGTGGAAGAAAGGACTAAATAATATGCCATCTTGTTTACCTGTTAAAGGGGAGGGGAGGAACAATACTGCAAAAGCATGTTGTCAGTGCATAGCTACAGGTGATTTTGTAAGCTGAGCAGGATATATATACATAAAAGCAGAACTAATTAACTTCTTGAACTACTTAAACTTCTTAAAACTTCTTAAACTACAATGCTACTCAATCTTTTCTCATTCAGACCACATTCCATCTCTATTATTTATACAAGCTCTTCAAAAAGGACATTCACAAGTTTGTTTTTAAACAAAAGGAGAACACCAGCTTAACTATACCTTTTCATCCAGAAAGATTTCTCCTTTGAAATAAGGTTGAAAATCCTCCACTTCAGTCCCTATCTTCTCTTTCACAACAGCATAGAGAGGGACACCCAATTTTGACAGTTGAGGTTTCAGAGAGGAGAGCTCAGAAGCCTCCTAAGAAAGGAAAAAAAAACCCAAACATTTTAGGCAGTAAATGGAAATTGAAAGCTTCACCTTGAATTTCAAGGACATCAGAAACATACATAAGTTCTAGCTTGAGGCACAAAACAGAAACAGACCTATAAATCAGACTTTTAAGCTAGCTTTACTCACAGGCAGGTCTTCATTAGATTTAGTAAAATTTTATTCAGTAAGCATGGAGTAAGGAGATTTTTTTGAGCATTTACTGGATAAAATACTAAAATCCTGGAGAAAACGTATTTTTAACTCAAAGCTGTAGGTATACCTTGCCTGTGCTAGGACTTCAACTATCTTTTCAAGTGTTTACAGAACATTAAAAAGGTACTGCCTACACATCACTTAACCTTCCCAGGCCAGAATTTCCAATCCTTTTTTCCAAATAGCCATCATTATCAGGCCCTTTTTGCACGCTATTTTGAGGGCTCTATGCAGAAGCAGGCTATGCAAGTGCAGATTAAGTAATGGAGTGAAGATGCACTATCCTTTCTAGATCGTGAAAATAATCAGAGAATTTCTTTAGCCACCTTCAGTATCCGAGAAGCAATAATGCTGCTTCTGGTGTGTGAGTGCAAGGTGTCAACATTCATCTGCTGGACTTCTTGTTCTGCTGAAGGAATGCCAGATCCCACAGTTTATACAAAGACCTCTGAGGTTTCCAACAGATGAGACTGTAGATTATAAATTTGTTTCATTTCATCTAGTAGGTGTCCCTGCCTATAGAAGGGGGGTGGAACTAGCTGATCTTTGAGGTGTCTTTCAACCCAAACCATTCTATAATCTCCAGTGGAGAAAGGTCATTTTTACTAGACAAAACTCCCACAAAGCACTCCACACTTGTAAAAAATTTATGCAGCTGACATGAACACACTCAGCCACCTAACCAAAATGTCTTAACTCAAAGGCTTGCAGGACATCTAGAATTTACCAAGTAGCAGACAGATAGGAGAAAAGACATTGGAGAAAGACATCAGTAGCTGAAAGGGTAAAGGCAGCTTTGCAGTTAGTTCAGTACTCTGTCTTTTCAGAGGAAATGGATAAGCATTCATCAGCATCACAAGCAAACAGAGTAGTGAGTGGTGAGAATTAAAGGATCATTGCTTACACACGCAGATCTTTTCCCTTGTTTCTCTTCTTAGAGATCTGGTAATAACTTTCTGATTTCTCTCAACAAAATGCCTGATGATCTTCCTAAAAGGCGCATTAGTAACAACAGAACAATTTTGTCTGGGATTTTTTTATATAATTCAAAAATCTTGTAACCAACAAAACAAAAAAGATTTATATTGTGACGTAACATTTCTGAGAACTGACATTCCAGGCTAGTACAGGGGTGCCCTGAAATGACTGTCTCTGGAGAGACAGCAATACCATCAAACCCTGATTAGCCTTTTGGAGAAGAAAAAGCCAAAAAAGTCTGGTTTTGTGGGCAAATATATCACGTAACAGCTGTACAGCCTTACCACAGGACTATGACCATTTCATCTGGTCTGTGAAACTGTTATCTTGCTTTTGCAAAAAGTGGACAAGCACAACCTAGCAAAAGTTTCTCTTTCCACTGAGGCAGGGGCAACCCAAAAGAACAATTCCCATTTCAGCTGATCCCTCTAATAGTTTAACTAAGGCTCTTCACTACTTTAGACTGCTTGAGCTGATACCTACAATATTTAGCAAGCCCACAGCACTTTCACAATGACTGGAGCACTGGATCACTGCATGGCTGGATCCAGACTATGAGATACAGAAGTGCAGTTCTGTTAAATATAGTCTTATGTTAAAAAAAAAAATAAAAAATAAAGCAGATGAGTTAGGATGCAGATGATAAAGATAAAAGACTGTATTTCTTAAGTCTACAAGCCTCAATTCTCAATGATCCAAAAGGACTTGTGACATCCTCTGCAGTGGATAAAGGATGTGTGTCCTCACCACTGAGATTAGGTTGGTGATCTGTGAGGTAGAATGGCAACTTTACATGCTGCCCCTGTGTCCAGGGAAGCATATATTTGTTCTTGGTGCTGTCAACAAGGCCAAAGTTCAATATCCTTTCCAAGGTGTAAGATAGTGGGAACCAACTGTACCTTGGTTCTTGCAAAAAAACCCAAACAACCCAAGCCAGCCTACTTCCTGCAGGTTAACAGATATGGCAAGCCACTACATAGAACCATTCCATCAGCTCAGTCAGTGACAGTGGAGAAAGCAGCAGTTTTAACACTATGGAGAAATATTAATGGACCAAAACAAATAGCAGACTGAACTGGCTAACTTTTTCTTAGGAGAAAGGTGAGAGTTAACTCACCCAAATGCTTTGAACACACCACAATCAAAAATAACTTCAGTTTAGGCAATTTAAAAGTTTTTTTAAACAGTCTCATGGTTAAAATACAATTATTTGCCCTAATTAGCTGATCGAATGACTGCCTCTCTTAAAAATTTGAAGTTTTGAACCAAGAAAAAGAACTAGAAAAATTAAATTTCTCGCCTCAATATTTTCCCGAAACAAGCAAACAAACAAAAATAACAACAACCCACAGTTCCCTGAATTGGCACTTTATTTCTACTTAGGAAGGTAGTATTAAAAAAAAAACCCCAAAACCTGAATGAATTCCTGTCTGACTGTATGTGAAAGGCACAGTCAGGCACATAGTGTGTTCTCTGCCTGCCTACGCTACACCTGTTCTGACAGCAAAGGACTTTAATATTTGACCTTCCACGAACTGTACATATACTTAAGCAGTTCCCACTGATAGGAGCAGATCCCTTAATTAAGAGGTTGCAACATTAACTACTCCATGTCATAGTGAGTAACAACGTAACAGCTATTTTTTAACCCCATAGCTATGAGAAAAATAATGGCCAAGGTGCAAGTTATGGCTCTTCCCAGGCACATGGTACATTCAAATCATATTTTAAGTGTCTTCTCCCACCTCCACCCAAGGAGCCTAATGCCAACTTAAGGATCAGATTTTGTTTCCAAACCCTCCTTGTTACGAACAGTAACTCCTTGTCGTCAGACTCTTCACCATCTTGCCTCACATTCAGCATCCAGAACAGTGAGGGACTCCCAGGTATGCACATCTTTTTGCTGACGAAGTTTATACAATGGCTTTTTGCCAGTCTAGTCCTAGGCTACTTTTGACCAGAGACTCAAAGAGGCTCATGGAGGTTTATTTTGGACATAGGGAATACAACTAGCTCGTAAGACTCATTACTAGCTGGATTTTGTGTAGTCTTCCTTTATAATTATCATTGGCTAGGTCCCTGACAGATGTAAAAATGATGCAGCCATTGCCTTCAGAAGGAAAATTTCAGGATCTATACAAATCAGCTACATAAATTATACAAATCAGGCTATACAAATCAGCTGCAAAGAAAACTAAGTATGCTGTTAGGTGGTGACTTGTTTGGGCTAGGAAACAAGCCCTTTCATATAATTCATATGTATCTGTCCTATTCACCCTGTCCCTTTATTTAAAGGTATCTATGCAAGTAGAGTTCAACTCTTCCTAATTAATTCCTAAGCCCAACAATTACCTCTCTGCACAAAAAACATCCAGGTCTTCGCACAGCCATGATCACTGCACCATTTTTCCTCCATAGTTCACCTGCTTTGAATGTCCTTTGTTCTGTGTATACAGGAGAAACAGCATCAACAATAATATCAGCCATTCTTGCATATAATGACTAATGCTATAAGGACCAACAAAAAGCACTGCAGGGAATTCCACATTCAAACAGTTCTATCAGAAAAAAAATAAATCTGTATGCATATCAGGGTATTATTCTTTTATTGATTTTTAGAAGCATGTCACGTTTCATCCAGAAGTAAGCTTTAGTTGCTTTTCCTTCACCAAAATTATCAGCTATCAAAGACACCAACTATGTGTCATAACAAGAAAAGACTAAGAAAACCTCTTCCATCAAAGGTTCTCTTCCTTACAAAGGTTCTTATAAAAACCAAATTATAAAGGAATGTGGACTGAAACATCCAGAATCTTACCTGATCCCAAAGATTTTAGCTCTATCCCCTCTAAAAACTCCAACGTAGCTTTTTCTGGTTTGGACAAAAAAAAATCAGTGTTAGCAATGACGATCCCTGTCACAGCTGCACCAAGAGCTCCAAGACCAATAGACCACATGCCCATGGTGAAGATTCCCAAGTCAGGCAGGAAGGACATTTCTGGAAAAAGAAAGAAGAAAACAGCTCTAACATTGGGCACCAATAATGCCAGACAACGGGGAACTGGATTAAAACAACAACTAACAGCTCACACTGATATTTTTGGTTTGATTGGAGATGATCTGTGCATTCTTGTACTGAACTGAATTTTAGAAGAGCAAGATAACATTCCAGTTCTGTGCCTGACCCACATCAAAACTATTAACAAGATATTCTTCCCTTTTCCTGCTACCAGAATTACAGAAATATTAATGATTAAAGTGCTCAAATGCAATGAAGAGAAAGATGATTGAAGTGTATGTGCGTCATAAACCACAGAATCATAGTTTGGGTTGCAAGGAACCTTCAAAGGTCATCTAGGCCAACACCCCTTGCAATGAGACCACAGACCATCTAACAAAATGTTAGCCAGTAACATAAATTATTACACTAAGACAGTGGTATCTTTCAAAATAGAAGTATTTGTAAGATTAAATGTTCATACACACCCAATCTATATTAAACAGTGAACTTTACAACTACGCCACAGAAGACTTAAAAAAAAACAAAAACAACCAACAAACAAAATCTGTATCTGGTTCACTGTAACTGGTAACCTTTTCTGTTCCCTACAATTTCATCCTAGAACCAAAGCAGGCATCAAGCCAGTATGAGAGCTCATCAGTCTTGCCTGCAGACAGAAATACGTAGTCTTGCAACCACTTTATTAGATGCTGTGCTCCAACATTACAAACATGCACCGGACAGCATCTTCTATATACTGACCAATTCCCACTCTTGCTAAAGCAGAAATGACATCAGGAACAAACAACTTTGGTTAGAAGTGGTAACACTGAGACAGAAACCATTAAATATGCATGCTCAAGTCTGACAGTACAAACACTGCTGCTTGTTACCAGTGACTAATTTGGTGGCAATTTTATTTAACCACCATCCATTCACAAATCCCCCCCCCAGCCAAATCCTGACCCTTGCATGTTTCACAAGCCTGGTAGGGGCTGACAGCCTCCTTCCAGTGAGGCTGTATCAGTTATGAGGATTCAAGAAAGCACACTTAGCCCTGCCTCATGGACAAAATTCAAGATCCAGCTCTGAGCCGTAATTGGCACAAGAGTCATTGGAGTTTTGGCAGTATAAGGAGTCACTTCACGCTTATTGCAACAGTTATGTGTTACAAAGGGCTGTAGATTTGCAGTCACACAACTTTAGTATTATGTAATACAGAGAATCACTTTTTTTTCCAGTCATCCGCAAAACCCTATTCCCTGATAGACTTTTGGTAAATATTGCCCTCTGTATATGGTTTTGTATAGAAAAAGGTTTTTCTCTCTCATAAATATAAGAAAATACATTGGAACTATTGACTGGCAATAAAACCAGAGACACACATAATCTTTACACCCACAGCTAGCTGTTGCCAGAATTCAGAAAATAAGAACTAGGAGTAGCTCCTCACTTTTGTGTACAGAATTTTCTGGGAGAAAATCCCTTTCCATCGTTAAAACTGGCTCCAGAATACTACTGATAAACAAATATAACCAACTGCCTTTCTGCAGAAATAGCTAGAAAACATTTGGAAAAAAAGACCACTTTGTTCTTTTACTAGCACACTTGGTTCCAAGGAAGGCAGTATCACAGTATCTAGAAACGTGAGTAATCCATGGTCCCAAGCAGGAAACAAGGCCAGTTTACACAAACATAAAGCAGATAAAGGAACAGATTTTACCCCACTCCACCACTTATTTTTAATCAAGGAAAAGCTTCCTTGACCATATCTGCTTTCTCTACATGCTTTCTTCAAACATAAAGTCCTACTGTAATAACAAATTTTTTTATATTTGCCCCTTACTGATATAAGAGACCATCCTGACCCCAGACTTTGGAAAGACCAAAATGTAACTAAAAACGTACTGCTGTAATGCAGCAATATCTTTAAGACTTAAAAGACTCTGTGACATACCCAAAAGGCTATATAGCCCTTTTCCCTCCCAGAGTCTGATTATCCAACTATTCTTTGGATCCGAATCTTACCAGGTCAAGAGCTGGTTTTCACTATTGAGTTTTCTCTATTGTTTTTTTCTATTTCTATTGAGTTTTCTCTATCGGTTTTCTCTATTTCTCTCTGTTACAAGAAGAAAGGGGGGTGGCGGTGGTGTAAAAACAAGTATTAATCTCTTGTGCATGTCATATGTGTACAAAAATGTTGCCAAATGTGTAGTAATTGATTAATAAGTATTTCTCACATACCTTTTTTTTTTTGTTTTGTTAATTGTTATTAGCACCGCTAAAAGCCAACTTCTTCTCAGTTGTAGTTGATAGAGAGATCATTAAGCTTAGTTAACATACCTCTTTAGTTTAGCTAAATGCTTTGGACTCTACTCAGTGACAAAAAAAACCCAACCCTATTCAAATAAGTGAATATTTTGCTATTTAAATACATAGGGGGAATGTTTGAAGCAGCTGTACATGATACTGAAATTCCTTCCCTGCTAAGCAAACACCATAGCAAGCCATTTTGAACAATACATATGGGAGGCCACAGCCAGGACTATTAAAACATTTGCTAACAAGACCTGGCCTAACACATCTACATCACTGAACGCCAAGTGAAGAGATTAAATAGAAAACAACTGCACATTTGCAGCTAGCAGCCTCATTTCTGCTTAGTTACTGTTTATTAAGGAAATGTGAAGCTTAAATTAACTTTACAAACCTCCACCCCACCTTAAAAAAACAAATGCTACTGCCTTGTGATCAAACTCTATGAGTTTTTAAACATCAAAAGACAACCCACAACAAGAAGATACAACCGAGCATCCCGTAAGCCTTTATCATTTAGGTGCATGCACTCACCAGAACCCAAGCAGCATCAGCCACCACCAGTTCCCCCTGTGACTGCAAGCTCCGGCAGGAGAGAAGAAAAACTGATATCACGTGTGGCAAGTGGGCAGGACTAGGCAGAAGTCCAGCTCTGGAGCCTTTGCTTTGTAGCCAGGATCTGGGTCTCCACTCTTTCAGCTGAATGTGCCACAGTCACCCTGCGGCAGCCCAAGGCAAGATTGTTTTAAAGGTATCTTAATCATTCATCTTTTTCCTTAAAACTGAACACATGGTTACCCTCTTTATGGGTGGGTGGGTACAGGGAACAGGAGTTACAGAAAACTTTTCTGAAACTGGGAACTTACCACTGAACATTAAGATCTGCATGTTAAAACTGCACTTTTCTGTGGAACTATGCATTTTTGCAAGTAGTATTTTCCCTGTGGTTCAGCCTGTTCTACTTTTACCCTCCACCCTGTACACTGCATGTCAAAACAATACAACCAACCTTGGAAACAGTTAAAAAGCTATCACAATGCACAACATGAGAAAAAAGTTTCAATACAGAGGCTATATGGTGAATTAACCCAGCGTTTCTATGCTCAGTTACCTGCTTTAGTGGCAACATCCCTTCACTAAAGAACATCATTCTCTCTGAATTATCAGACCTGCAAGCTCTCAGCTCTGCTAAAACCTCCAAAACGGAGTGAGGTTTCAGAGAGCAGAGGCCAAAGAAAAAGGGAAAACATATTTTTGTGTGTTTTTGTGTGACCAGAAGAGATCTGAGATCTCCAAGATAACAGTGAGTTACATTCTGGTCTATCAAGACTCAGCTAACCAGAATTTAAACAAGCTTAGTCTTAATCCTGTTATAAGTGCCAGTTGATGGTCTTCACTGTGTGTCAAGAAGACCAGTTAAAACATGGTTTTCTACATGTCTCATTTCCTTCCCACCCACAACCAGAGAAAAAATTGTCATTAAGAGGACAGCTATCCTTAAACATTTATTTTAGCAGTGTAAACATGACCCATTGCAGCTGTGTTAAAAAAAAAAAAAAAAAAGAAAAAGAAAAAGAAGGGAAGTCTGGGTTTTTGAGTTGTCAATAAAACTCGGGGTAGCACAGAGATTTACTTACATACTTTTCCTTAAAAGACAGCTGAGCAGACATGGAAACAGTGGGGACTCTCATAAGCTGGACTGCACTAGCATGTATACCCTGATCTAAAACAACTTTGACCATTGCTTATTCTTCCCTTCTCTCTCATTCCCATCCTCCCCAAGTTACTGCATACCAAGCCTAAAAAACTTTGAGAGCTTTGTCACAACTTGCATATGCCAAACAAGTTGAGCTGATTATTTTTTTATGAGACATTTCCCCCAAAAATGAGTCATGTGATTACAAATATCTTTGTAATCTCACTCCTATAAAGAACATTTACAATAACCTGGTAACATGCTCATCAAGATTTCATGAGCTTTTAAATACCAGTAAGGATTACAAAACACAGCATCCTGACCAATCTCTAAAATTAGCCCTGCTTTAGTTGGGGATTTGACTGAAGAAACTTCAGAGGCCCCTTCTGACCTAAATTGTGTTCTTCACGTGCCAAGACTGATGCATAAAGAAGCCTCCTAAAATTTCTGATCGCATGGATATAAGTCATTTTCACAACATGAGGGATTTTTTATTTTCGCCATTGTAAAGGTCCTGTAACAAACCATTCCTTGTGTCAAGAATAACAGCTCCCTTTTTAGGTTTCTTCCCACTCTATGCATTGTTTCATTACTGAATTCAGTGCAATGCTGTGCTTGGCCTTAGCTGAAGAAAAAGTTGATGTGTCAAGCAGGCAAACCATACTCCTTCCTTTGAAAGCAAGTTAGTTGTTAACCCAAATAATCTCCCCCGTTCTGAGGCTGTTTTAAAGATGCCCAACATCTCAACAACCCTTTTCTTTTGAGCAAGGTAGAACAAAGAGCTCTGGCACAATACCATGTAAATCTTCCAACTCCCTAGATGTATTCAGAGGGAACAGGCAGCTAAATATCATGTATAGGAAAATTCAGATCTGTGCTCAACCAGCAAAATGGAGAGACCATGGAGATAGGAATAAGTAGCAAAAAGTTGCTAGGTGAAGCTAATAGATATTCTGTGCTCAGTTACCAGCTTTAGTAAGAAGCTTTCTTTCAGAAAGAAGCTAATACAGGCTAAACT